GGATATTTCCACTCTTCATCTCAAATTCACTAATCCTTGAAATCTCTTGGAGGTGGGAAAGTAGTACACTTCACCTCAAAGTTGACTGAAGCAACAGCAAGAACAGCTACCTCCTCCACAGTCTGTGAACCAAGACAAAGCCTTTCTATATAAAGTAAGTATTGACAGCTCCATATCATTAACACTTCTACATTAACATGTTTCTCTTCTATAAGAAATTATTTACTGATAGACAAGTATCAGTGTTAAGTGTAATAAATAATTTTGTAAGCAAATTCCTCTAGGAAGACAATTCCCAGTAAAAAGGCTGAGAATAAATTCAGCCGGTTGTGGCTTACACACCAAAAAACTAGAAAATTCCTTTATATAGGTGAGTTCTTTGAAACCCTTAAAGTTTACATGCATCAGACAACAATGCTCACACCCCCCCAAACCCAAAGAAACCTAAGCCCTTCTTCCCAAACCTCACTTTTAGAGATAACCTTCCATAACTAACTTTCAGTAAAATCCTCTCCCCGCTCATCCTGTGGAGGATTAAGTCCTGAGATTCTATCATGATGCAAACCAATTTAGGTCTTTAGCATTAAAAAAAAAAAAAAAAAAAGAGAAGTGTGTTAACACAGCATAAACAGCCAATATTTTAAATAGAGAACCTACATTTGGAGGAACTGCATTCCTAATGGAAATAACTTCTCAAAGTCATTTATCCCTACCAGCTCCCCTCCCCTTCCCACTTTCTGAAAACACTGAATTTACCATGAAGGAACCATTACAATCTCAAAGCCTTATAGGAAGCATGGGGTAGTCAATGCTGGCCTTTCTTGTGCTACAGAACAGCCTCAGAGCTCTTACACAATTGCTGTTTCCACGTGAACTCGTTTTGTATCAGCAGCATATTAAAGCAAGAATGCGTGAATCAATAAAGTTACTGTTCCAGAAATATACTTTGTCTATGGGTATGACCGTAAGCACAAAGATTAAAATATATGATACTAAGAATTTCTTCCTGCAAACAAAACAGAAAGCCTTTATGTCAAAACTAGAATTGATCATCTAAGGACATGCTGCAACACTGAAACATAAAGCAAGCAGGATTTCATTTTTTTAAGATTAAAGGCTTTAATCATGTCAAAGTTTTAAAGAACTTAAGCCCTGCAAAAGGCTTTACAATACATGATCAACCTATTTCATTAAAACTGCAAATAAATGCTCAGCTATCACAGGCTCTGCCTCCACACCTTCAACATCCACTGTCTTGGATCTCATTGCATCTTCCCTGTAGTTTCTGACAGCCACCCAGATGCAATTTACAGACAATAAAATAGAGACAGGCCTGCTTTGGTAACTTTCCACAGCTGAAACTGATGGAATGCAACACAAAATCCTAAGCTCTGGTATGAATACACAGGTTTACATTGAAAAGGCCACATGTCAAGATATGTCTAATCCTACAAGAAATGACATTAGCGTATATATTTCATCTGAAAAGCAAAACAGCAGTCAAATAGATGAACTAATGTTAATACCTGATGTTACTACCTTATCTGCATTTTCTGTCTGATAAAACACATCAACATTGCAGATTTCATCTTTAGGTCATGCAGGAAGTCAAACAAACACGTTTTAACAGCAGTGATTTTTTTTTGTAATGGACTTGCCAGTAGGAACTTAACTATGGGAACCCATGAAAACATTCCTTTCAGAGAGGTTACATTTAATTATGTTCCTACACACTTCATAAATAAAAGCAGCAGCAGAACTGCAAGCAGTTGCAGTAACCTGCAACTGCAAACAGCAGCAGTTACTACAAGACTGAAGCTCAATCCTAAACCTGTGAGTTTCCCACTGGTCTTGGACATGGAGAGCTCTTCTCCCCTCTCCCAGTTGCCAGCAAAGGACTGGGAAGAAGAGACAAGGCCCTGTTTCTATAACAAAACTGAACAGCTTAGAGACAGAGTCCTATAGTCTCTCTCTTCAGTCTAAAACGGGAAAAAAACTGCTCATTTGAAGATGAAGAAAGTAATCTGAACTTGATTAAAGAAAATGGGGAATCTTTTTCATCTTATGAATCAAAACAATTCCCTTATCTATTCTACCTGGACCAACATGGCTCAAGCTATTTACTTCATATTTCCAAAGCTGAACAACTCCTCTTTGAGCTCAGAATCAAAAGAAAATATGTAACTGGACACCTAACTGAATGATGATACTGGGTTAATAAGGGAAATCTAGAAAGGGATTAAGAAGGTCATGAAAATTTGCTGAACTCACAGTCTCCTCCTAACATGTACAGCTTACCTATAGCAGTATTCATCAGTGACAGGACAAGAGGTAAAGGATTCAAACTTAAACAGGGAAGTTCAGGTTAGATATAAGGAAGAAGCTCTCTACTGTAAGGGTGGTGAGGCACTAGCACAGGGCATCCAAAGTGGTAAATGCTCCATCCCTGGCATTGTTCAAAGACAGGCTGGACAAAGCCTTGGGTGACATGGTCTAGTGTGAGGCATCCCTGCCCAGGGCAGGGGGTTGGAACTAGTTGATCTTAAGGTCCTTCCAAATCCTACTCTATGATTTTTCAAACGGGGGAAATTAACAGCATCCCAAGAAAATGTTAACTGAGGAGGAGCTAATTGCTTTATGGAGCTTAAGCCACAGAAACACCAATCCCACAGGTCCTAAAGAGCCTACTGTAGCTGTGACATTTTCTTCTAACATATACTATACTGTAACTCAAAAAATATACAATGAACAATGGGGGAGGGGGGCCAACAGGGAGAGAGGGAGAAGTATTTAACCCCTCCCAAAGCAGCAGCTATAGCAACTTTATTATTACTGTTGGTGTTTTGTGAAACAACATACAGTATGACTACAATGGATGTCACTAAAAGTAATCATTCATTAAAGCTCAGCCTCACTCAGGAATAAATAATAATAATCTTGAGTTATTTATTGCAGAAAATTAATGAATCACAACATTAACAAAAAATACACAAGTATTACTAAACAGTCGTACTGCTTAGGTTACTCCCCCCCCAGGAGCTGCAGAATTCCTTTGACTGAGGAAGTACAGGAAGAATCAAGCTTTTCTTAGCAAAATCCTCAGTTTCAAAAGTGTTATGACTCTTCCTTGCACTACAACCTCCAGACAGTGAAGTCAGTATGTCTGTGTCCTTCTGTTTCCTCCCCCAGTACGACACTCAGGAAGAGATCCAAAGACATCTGTCTTCCAAACTACTAACGTCTGTCTCATGTCCCTTCGTGCACGCCAGCAGGTCTCTATTCTGAAAGTGGGTACAACCACCACCCCCCCCCCTCCCGACACCCTATTTTCCCTCTTCCCCACCGCACATTGGAGACCCCGGCCACAAACAGGCCTCTCACTACCCGGCTATTGCGCTTATCGGCACTCCGTGCAGAACACGCCGAACACAAACACAAGGCCTCCCTCCTCCCAGCAGCCCAAACAACGGCGCAAACCCTCTCGCACAGCCCCGCTATGGCGGGACGCTCCTCCCTGCCGGACACCCGGCTGCTCCTCCTCGCCTTAAGGCTCAACGAGGTTCCCGCGCAACTGCCAGGGCCCAGCGCGCCCCGCGGCCGCCATGCACCAGCCCCGCAGCCCTGGGCTCCGCACCAACGGCCCGGCCCGCGCCACGCCAAGGCCCGGCGAACATCCCCCCGGGACCGGCACCTTATCCCGAGCCGTCCCCGGGCCGGGGGAAGCCGCAGCCCCGCACCCGCCGTCTGTGTCGCTACGACAAAACCGTGCGAGGGGGATGGGGAGAAGGGAGGGGAAAAGAAGGCTTCACTTCACTCACGCTCTCATGGTCCCACCGCACGTTGCTGCGCTTCTCATCCGGGGCCAGGTTTCTGTCCCGGCCCATAAGCTCATCTAGGAGCTGGGCGGCCGATATCATGGTGTCTTCCTGGCCGAGTCCCCCCTCACCAAACACAGACCCCGCCGCCGCCTCTCCTCACGAACCGACCGCGCCGCCGCCGCGGACGGTGACAGAGACAAAATGGCGGCCTGGCTTCTCGCCCAGCCCACAATGCACCGCGCGCCTCCTAACCGCCTCTGCGGCGTTGGCCCGCCGGCGGCCTAGCGCGGGGCCTGCGGCCGGCTCCCCACCCGAGCTGGCGGCGGTTAAAACGGCGATGGAGCCGGTCCCCTTCCCGGTCTCCGAGTGTCCTCGTGTGCGTGCTCGCTGAAGGGCCTGACGTGCGAGGAGGCAAATAACGCCATAGCCAAACAGCAGTGGTGTGTGACGGGTGTGCGGGACACCAGGGTGCTGCCCCGGCGGTGGCAGGGCGCTGGGGCACGACCCGGGCTCACGGTGCTGAGGTAGAGGCTTGCAGAGGTGCCTGTGGCCGGAGGCAGTGGACAAGGGGCTGGGCAGCAGCTGGAGGTTATCCCAGACCTGCTGCGCCATGGCGTGGACCAAGGCTTAAATGGTTTAGGAGGACATATAGTGACAGAACAAGCAGGAATGACTTCAGGCTGACAGAGGGGGGAGACTGAGATGAGCCCTTAGGTAGAAGCTCTTCCCTGTGAGGGTGCTGAGGCGCTGGCACAGGGTGCCCAGAGAAGCTGTGGCTGCCCCATCCCTGGCAGTGTTCAAGGCCAGGTTAGACACAGGGGCTTGGAGCAAGCTGCTCTAGTGGAAGGTGTCCCTGCCCAGGCAAGGGTTGGAACTGGGTGAGCTTTAAGGTCCCTTCCAACCCAAACCAGGCTGTGATTCTATGATTTTGACTCTATAAATTGTGATTCTTTCCTGAGCTATTCCCATATCTTGGTGTAGGACAAGCCCGCAATGATCAAACCCAGCTTTTCAGAACAAACAATGCAAACTGCAGGAATTACCTGCACTCTTTCCTGTTAATTTTGAGGTGGATGTTGATCTGTTTGATTTTAAGGATTAATCAATTGTGCTGACCACAAGAACGAGTAACATTCCTTAAGCACCCACAAGAACGAGTAACATTCCTTAAGCAATTACACGCGTACCGAATCATAGAATCAACTAGGTTGGAAAAGCCCTTTAAGATCATCAAGTTCAACCATTAAATACACGCCCCGGTGCTCCGGGCCGGCTGTGACCCGGAACGCGGTGGCCGGGCCGCGGGTGTCACCGATAACAGGGTCCCCCAGCGGAGACCGCCGCGGGGTGGCACCGGGCGCTGCTGTCCGCCGGTGCCTGGTTGGGAGCCGGACATGAGAGCTCATCCCGGCCTGGAGGCGGCGGCGGGGGGCGGCGAGATGGCGGCTCCGTGCGCAGAGCGGGAGCGGCAGGAGCGGCTGCGGGAGGCGGCGGCGCTGGGGGACGCGGCCGAGGTGCAGCGGCTGGTGGAGCTGGGGGTCAGCCCCAACGCGCAGAACGAAGTCAACGGCTGGTAAGAACGCCCCGGTGCTGCGCTGTGTTCACCCCTTGGCGTGAATATGGAACCGCTGTCACCCGCTCCCTTCCCGGCTCCTGGGTGTCCTGCTCCCTCAGGTCACCGTGTGGTTACTTTAGACTGGAAGGGCACAAGCAGCCAAATCTCAGCCGTGTTCACATGTAACCAGAAATACCTTCATTAACTCCTAAATCAGGTTTGGGAATGACTTTTCTTTTAAAGCAGGGTAGTTGCAGGATGTGTCAGTGTTATATATAAATGCTTCGGGTTTGACATCTCGTTCAGACACTAAACCCAGGACTTTTCTGTAATAGGCACTTGTACAAGTGGGACTCTATCAATGAACACACGCACGCACACACACAATGTTATTTGAAGCAGGATTTACAGGGAATGCTCAGGCATTTCAGCAGTCTGTTTCCCCGAAGTTCAACTCCGCTGTGTTTGCTGTGCTGTATTGGGCTTGAGGTTGTAACTGAAGTAGGAAAGCTAAAATTAGGTGAAAGCTTGAGCAGCGATTTTGAGAAGCGTGGGGCACTTGCAACTTGAAGTTCAGCTTCTGGTGATTCAAATTAGAGCTTGTAAAATCTTACTGGTTCATAAGATTCAAAATCATCTTAGCATGGAAGATAAACAGGTACCGGTCATCAAAATGAGGTTGTATCAAAAACTGAAATTGATGAACAGAATCTGGCTTAAAATACAATTGTTTTTAAAATGATCTGGTCGTTTGTAACTATGGCAATGAATGGATCCTCACTGTGATTTAAGTTTGCTTGTAGAATTAACATTTCTTCAGGGAGACTGAGACTGTCTGATGCTGAGAAGTGCTGAGCACTTACATTTTGATGCATGTCAGGTCCGTGAGTAGATGTTACCTCTGTGTGAGACTACATAGAATGGTCAGGATGGATCCCAAGATCAGGCCAATGCTCCTGCACATTCCTTCTCACCAAAGCAAACCAGTAAATTTTGACCTCAAATCAAACATGACCATGCTGTCTGTGCCTTTTCCCTCCACTTTGGTCCAAACCAGTTTGCAACTTGGCAACGTGCTAATTCTGAGTTCATGCGGGCTGTTCACACTCATTTCACAAGGAGAAATATGTGAAAAGTCCAGCAAACACTGCACAGGGAAACTAAACAAACCTGGTCTGAGTTTCATGGGCCTTGTCTCAGATTATGTGGGATCCCTGGTGTCAAAACATCAGGAATACTTTCTGCTGACAAAATTCCTTTATCCCACTGTGAAACAGCACTTTCTAGCTGAAATGGCCAGCCCAGCCTTGGTGGGAGAACACAGGACTTTACAGTATTGCTGACAGTACCATCTTGGAAACACAGATCTTGTAAGCATCCTTCCTAGGATAGCCTGTGAAGAAAAATAATACGTATACATACACTTACATTCCTGTTTCTTCAGTTAGATGTTAGATGCTGCAGTGACTGGTGACCTTTAATTCAGGCATACTTTCTGCCATCAAGATGCATTCATTTTAGTAAGAAGAAATGGTAGAACTGAGGTTTACTTAAGTCAGAATATACAAAAATGAACAAGGTTTTGCAAGTTACCTTATCTCCTTTTGGGTTTACCTGATTTGTATGCATCCAAAGATCAGATTCTCTTTTTTTCCTTGCATGTTTGCACACAAGAAAACTCAAAAGTTTCTATACAAAGTTGAGAGTTACTGGTCAAGATACAACTTTGCAGGCTCTTTTCTTAACAACAACTCAAATCAACCAGCCAACCAAAAACTGAAGTGGAAAAAAGCCTTTTGAAGCTGGACTTTCGACGGAAACTATTTTCCCCTTATAAGTTTATTATTTAGAATCATGGAATAGTTAGGGTTGGAAAGGACCTTAAGATCATCTAGTTCCAACCCCCCTGCCATGGGCCATTTAGCTCTGCTTTATTTAATTCTTAAACAATAAATAAATAAACTTGGAGAAGGGTTCAGTGTGTTCATCTTTCTGAAGTTTTCTGCATCTGGAGATAGAGAATTAAAATGTAAAAGCTAGGGAAAGATCAAACATCACTAGAACCTGGGTTAGGGAAGAATGGTTAAGACCATATAACGAGTTACAGTGTGTAACTACCTAAATAAGCTGAGGAGGTATTAGGATGTTTCTTCACTCTCTAGGTCAGCAGCTGCAAACAGCAATTTGAGAAACCAGACAAGTGGTTTGTTCTGTGCATCACTGACAGGCTGCTGAAAACTGGTTGTATGCAGATCAAAGCTTCCGAGTTGCTGCTGCAGTGAATAGTGACCGGGCAAAGAACTGTGTGCTTAGAAACTCTGCTTACTGTATTCTGAACAGCATTTACTTTCCAAAAAGTGCAAGTCATTGTGCTGGCAGCATTAATTAAAAATAGCATCTTAGGGAAGGCTCACATAAACACACACAAGTACTTGAAGTACAACTTATTCTGTCTGAGATTAAAATGGCACACACAAATCTTTTTATAGTTATATATTAGAACCTTAATAAATGACAAATTGAAAAGATCTTGAGCTTTAACAATGCAACTGTGGTAAATTGGTATCTAGCATTAGAGCAAAGAGAAACTACATCAGCAGGTGTCACTGCAGGCTCCAAAACCAGCCTAAATTTCCAAGGAAGACTGCAATTGAAGCCTCTGTTAGACATGCACTGGGTCTTGTTCTTCTCCTAGGTAGCAAGAATGGGTGGAAGTTAATCTGCCATAATTCAGGATTTAAACAGTGTTAACATTTTCCATGTGCAGGACTTGTTTGCACTGGGCATGTAAACGGAACCATGCTCCGGTAGTGGCTTACCTGCTGCACGCTGGTGCTGACAAGGAGATCCTCACAAAGAAAGGAGAAAGGCCAGCCCAGTTAACATCAAAGAGAGAGATAAGGAAGATGTTGGGAGGTAAACCAATACAAGACTGTAGCAAAAGGCTGTTTAATGCATGTGTGTTCCAATCTTTATTTTGCATGTGAAGATACTGTGTTTGGATCTTACTAATAACCGTGACTTGATTTCTAGAGTGTTTAATTGGTAAGAAATCGAAGTTTAAGAACAAGATTACCAACAAATTCCATATTCAGCCAGCCAAACTTTTGTTCTAAACACTGAACAATTAGATAAGCTGTATTTTGAACAACAGTATGATTAAACTAGTGACAGCTAAATGCAGCTTCCTATTTTCAAAAGGGCAACAGGAGAAAAATCTCTCAAATTTGTATGAAACCCTTATATTGTAGAATCATAGAACGGTTTGGGTTGGATGGGACCTTGCATTTCATCCAGTCCCAAACCCCTGCCACGGGCAGGGACACCTTCCACTTGGAGCAGGTTGCTCCAAACCCCATCCAGCCTGGCCTTGAAGACTGCCAGCTTCTCTGGGCAACCTGTGCCAGTGCCTCAGCACCCTCACAGGGAAGAACTTCCTAATGTCCAATCTATCTCCCTTCTACCAGTTTAAAACCATTCCCCTTTGTCCTGTCCATACATGCCCCTGTAAAAAGCCTCTCTCCAGCTTTCCTGTAGCCCCTTTAGGCACTGGGAACTACTCTCAGGTCTCCCAGGGGCCTTCTCTTCTCCAGGCTGAATCAGCCCAGCTCTCTCAGCCTGGCTCCACAGCAGAGCTGCTCCAGCCCTCGCAGCACCTCTGTGGCCTTCTCTGGACTTGCTTTAACAGCTCCATGTCCTTCTTACATTGGGGTTCCAGAGCAACACCTCACTTCCCCAATGTTTTCTGGAGCTTAGACACTGTGTTGAATAAATGGAAAATTAGCAGCCCCGATAAACAGCTCATTAAAGGACATTGGTAGTGCAGGGTAGGCTTTGCTGCTAGAGGTAAGTAAATTGAAATGTGGTCAGTTAACACCCTCTTTCCTCCCCTTTGTATTCCCTGTTTTCATTATTGTCTCCCAGCTGTTGAATTGGTAATGTTTCAGCTCTCCCAGTACTATGTGTTCTTTTCCCTTTATCCCCTGCCTTAATATCAAACAACAATATTACCCTTTGGTTTTCATTGCCTTATACATTATGAAGATGATAGCATTATACCACCAGAGACCATGTTACAACATGCTGGCTATGGATTAAAACACATCAAACCAAAACAGAAGTATTGCAGTGTTTAGAAGGAAATAGCACCCCTGGAATTACTAGAATCAGACTCTGCTTTTGGGTTTACTGTATCACAACACCTGAGCACGGTTCTGTTACTATAGGAAAAAAGGCTTAGTGCTTCTTGATTCATCTTGTAACTTGTGGTGCTTTTAACATACCAGTCCCTCCCCATAAGAACAAACGACCACCTCCAATGCAATACTAATACTTCTCTTTTCCTCTCAAATGAGTCTTGGAGAATGTTGGTTTGTTTGTTTTACAGTGGAAGAGGATGAACTGCCAGACTTAAAGAAAGAGTCAGATCTGCCAATCATCCCTAATTACCTGGCTAACCCACCTTTCCCTTATGTTTATAACACCATGAGTAACAGTATTCCAGATCCCTCCATGAATGGGAGTGTCTCACACTTAGAACCACGAGATACCGACTCTGCTTCCTTACCTGATGTGGAGACTTACACGCATGCACCGCTACACCATGGGAATGCTGCTCCCGAGGTGGCTGATGCTGCAGGCACACCATCACTGCCCCGCGGGTCTACTGTACCTCCGCACACAAAACCTGTCCGTCAGAGAGGTCCAGTGTACCAGGGATCTGTGTCTTGGAGCAGAAGTGCCCCTTCACCAGCTGGATCTAATCAGTCTGTGCCTCAGCAAGAGAATGGCTCCTGTATGGGGCCTGTGCCAGCATTTCAGCCTGTTTTCTTCACTGGAGCTTTCCCACTTAATATGCAAGGTAACAGTAAAAATCTCTTCTTGCTTTGTCTTAGGAATTATGTCACATTGGACAATGAGAATAGACAACTCCAAGTTATATGTATTCAAAGCATTTCCAGAGATTTTCAGGTTCCCACAGTTAGGCATTCAGGAAGCATTTGAAGGGAATTAAAGAGGCAGATATCCTGTTTCTGCTGGAACTGTTATTAAAATATTGGTGAAAACATTTGTTGTTTGTCTCATGCTCTAAAAGCATGCAGACACCAGTGTAATTAATTCCTTAAATAGCATACTCCAAGCTGCAAAGAAGGAATGTGACTACATAGCCAGTGAGCTCAAGAGAGAACGTGCCATGGCTCTATCTGCAGACCTGAGCCTGGAGGTGCACAATTACCTGATCTGCCATTTCAGCAGGTGAATTTTGCCTGCCCAAAGAGAGAAAGCTCAATTTCAGCTTCAGTTCAAAAGTTCATTCTTGAAATAAAAGGTGTTCTGAAGCCATGAATTAGCAATGAGAAGTTAACTGATGACCAAAGGATCAAAACCCGATAGGCATGATCTTGGATTACTCAGGAAGTTGATAACCAGTATAATCTGCTTTTAAGTTAGTTTAAATCCAGTAGGGTATGTGTCCATTCAAAGGTTCATACTTTCATTCACACACACTGTATTAAATCTGCAATGATTTTCTCATATAGGTTGATGAAAGTCAAGCTAATGAAAACTGTGGTCATCCAAGTCCAGCTGTTTGCTTTCTGAGGACTCTTGTATTGTTAGAAATTATACAAACAAGGTTAATAGATCATAGAAATATTTGGAAGTTCCTATAGATGTATATTTCCAATTCCTTTATATATTTTCCTATTAATGTAGTTTTTTATTTCTAATAGAACTGGTGCTTAAAGTTAGAATACAAAACCCTAATCTCAGAGAAAATGACTTCATTGAAATTGAACTGGACAGACAAGAACTGACCTATAAGGAACTGCTCCGAGTGAGTTGCCGTGAGCTGGGCGTTAACCCTGAGCATGTACAGAAGATCAGAAAATTACCAAATACAATGTTAAGAAAGGTAAGAACTCTAAACTTTGAAGTGCAGTAACTTATAGAAAAGGGTTTTAGGTTAGCATTAAAAGGGATGTGTTGGTCACCTGCATAGGCCCATGTTGAAAAAAAACCCAAAACAACCAACAAAAACCCCAAAAGAAAAACCTCCTTTCAGCTATCAGCACTCAGCAGTTGTTTAATTTGGGGCTTTTAGTAAAAAAAGTTCTCAAGTTTCTTGATCATTTTCTTCCACAGATGTTTGGTGTTGAGCCCAGTTCATATCTGATGTCTCAATTATGTTCTTAACTTCAGTACAACACCACACCACTGTGAGCTGCCATCAGCATTTGAAAGCCCTGCAAATCCTGACCGAGTTTTGCTGGGTTAGTGAGGACTGTGTGCAGTCTTTTCAAGAACCAGAAAGGTGTTTCAGAATGATTGAATGCAGGTCTCTCCATGTACCTCTTTTCACTCCAGTGACAGTCACCTGTGCAGCAAACAGGACGCGGACCTGCTGACCTGTTGTACTGATTCACTGTTGACCTTTCTGTTGCTGTCAAATCCCTCTAGAGCATTGTTGGTGTCAGTCATGGCGCTAATCTGATTAGTCCTAGACTAATAGACTCCACTGTACTGCATCCTCACTGACTAAATGACGACTTATTCTGTGTTAGTCAAGAAGTGAAAGGAAAATAAGACAGACAGACACAAGCAGTTCTGTCACTTGCCAACTTCAGTTGTGTTGAAGGACTGGTTTTACTTCCAGTGCTAATTACTCAGGTTCTCTGGACTGCAGGACACTTACTGTTCCTTGAGGTGATACAGAGCTAATTCTATTTAATGCTGTTTAGCAGCAGGGTTCTGCTGCAGCGGGCATCAGAGCTCAAGCCTGTGCTGTGGGAGGGTGTCTTCCCTTGCTCTTCCCTTGGAGACCCTTGCCAAGCCGCTCTACCGCCATGCTGGTGGGCTGCTCTAGAGGAAGCTGCATGCAGGACCTTCTTGGGTAATGCAAGGATCAATTCATGAGCTTCTAAGAATTACCAAGGTGGCAGGGGGGAAAAGAGGAAGTTGGGGGTGGATGCAGAGGATCTTTACAGGCGTAATTCCACTAATCACTTGCACTCATCAGTGTTGAATTCCTTCTAAAAATAGACTGAAGTGAGTAAGTGAATGGGATTCCAGAATAAATATAAGATGCAACAGGATGTCTGCTTTCTAGCTTACTGTAAACTGTCATATTTACAGATAAATACATACCCTGTGTTGGCATGAGCCTGTTATTTTAACTTACCTCTGCAAAACTGAAGTTTATCACCTAACAACTTATTGTATCTATTTAAAGGACAAAGATGTGGCAAGGCTACAGGATTTCCAAGAACTGGAGCTTGTTCTAACAGTAAGCGACAAAAACTTACTTTTCAGAGTCCCAACACTTTCTGAACGGAGTGGTTATAACAAGAAGGCATCAGAACTTACATACTAATTGTTTAAAGAATAAAACAGAAGATTTGTAGCTCTGATTTTAAAATGAGGTTTGAAAAATAGTATCTATAAGGGCTAATCATGTAAAAAAATCTATTTTGTTAACCATGGAATGAAGTAAAATTGTTATGCACAGTTACAGCCTCTAGTTAATCCAAGAGTAATGAGTCTGATGTAAAAGTAGCTTAATGCAAAGGAAGTATTGGTAGAACTATCTGTTAATGCATCACTTTTCCTTACAAAAAGATAATCTTGAAATACTGCAGAGTTAGCAGCTCTCAGGGAAAGGCTTACCTTAAGCTGTTCTAATAATTTGTTTGCTATAAAATAGCAGAGGTACTCAAGCTAAAGAACCTGCCATGAAACCCATTTAATATTCGTACTGAGTCCATTACCATTAACATTCACTGTTTGGATTATGCATTTCAATTCATATCTTAGAAGGAAAAAAGCAGAAGGGTTTGAATCTTGTGGAAGAAGCACAAATTTATGTCTACTTTAAATACTATCAAGTGACTTATTACCTTACAAGTAATCACTTACAAGTGATTTCTTAATCCCTGTTTACACTTTTCCCTATTTCTCAGGTTGAAAATAAAAAGTGATAGCATTTATCCAAATCATAAATATGCTCTCAACCAAAATCCCTTTTACTGTCAGTAAACAGTACTGACATGTGCAGTTTAAAATACTGGTTTTCTTACTGTGTTGACATCGCATTTCTCTGACGCTGCTTTAATTCCCCCTTTTGAAAGCACAAAAATTGTATTTTCCTTTTACCTTTTACATTCCTGAGAAAGGTCGCATCTTGAACATTTAAAGTTGCCTGTGTAAAAAGAAACTAGTTATGCCCAGGGTTTTCTGGGCTGATACTAAATCTTGATGTTCCTATGCAATGTACTTTATTTTCCCACCAATGACTTATGTTTACCCATATTGTTTACTGAAAAAGAATTACTTTTCCTGTTCCTGGTACTTAAAATGCAGAATTAGACTACTTTGCTATGAAATTCTGTAATAAACAAATTGAAAAGTATTTAAGAGCTGGATTTTATCATATTTTTAAGGGTTTTGGTATTTACTTAGTCATTTGCCTTTGAGGAAGAGTTCTGTTCTGATAGCCTAACTGTGAAAGTATGTACTACCTAAACCTGAAGTATGAGATGTATGTAACAGGCAAACAGAACATACCAAACTGGGTGGAACTTCCCTCTGTCTTCATCTTTCCCCTCCCTCACCACCAGTTGTTTTGGAAACTACAGCAACCAAAGGGTGTTATGATTGCCTTGTCCAAGAATTTACAGCCCAAGTACAATGTATGTGGCTCTATAAATGGGATTTATAGAAGTAGGATGCTGAGCAGGGAGGAAACGCTGAGGTGAGAACTGCATTTGTGGCTCCAGATGACTGGAGTTAGGTATCCCCCACAGCATTGTCCCCTTTCTTGGAGGCTGTGGCAGGTAGAGAAGTTGGTTCTTCCCCTGCAGTCAGAGCAGGCACCTGTATTACAGCTGACACAAGAAGAACCAAATTCATCTGTGCTCTCTCTTTCCCATCCAGTGACTAGTACTTTGTGCAAAGGGAAGCAGCTTCAGCAGCAGATGAGCACACAAGAGGGAGCCCTCTCCCAATCTGCCCTGTAGTCGGATGGCCAGTGTTCACCTGGAAGCACAGATCCTTGCAAACACTCCTGTGAACCAGTTAGCTAATCCGAAGCTCAGTCTCCTAAGGGTAATAGTAGATCCTTTTGTCACAGCAGAATAGCCTCTTCTGAAAACTGTTGGAGGTCAAATGTGCTCTGACTCATTGCAATAGCTGGGGTTTATAACAAATTGCTGGTCGTATACTTACTGCTGGAGTAATATAATCATTGCTCCTTGTATCACACTGTTGCATTCTCCCTGGCACAAAACAGATGCGGTTTAGGCATCTGCTGTGAATGCCAACTAAACCCATGGAAGTACCAGGATTAACTGGTCAGACCTTCTATAAGGAAACTCAGCTTCCTTGTTACACTGATTATCCTGCAGATGCCAATTGCTATCTAAGCATTCCAAGGAATATTTTTATACCTTATGCAATTTATACACAGAACATACTATTAACACTGCTAACAATCTGATCAGTGTATAATCATTACATTACTGTGTATGATAAATAATTCATTACTTTGGGCTCTGCTATATGAACTGTGAATGGCAAATGAATGCTTGGCTGTAGATTCTTGTTTCTATTTAAGAAGACTCATTTGTAGGAATTAATAAATGATTATTTTTGTCTTCTCAAAGTCTTTCTGAACTTTACTTATGGGGAAACAGTGGAACTTTTTCTTCCTGGGTAGGTTTCTAGAGTGCTTGGTGTAGGGAGCGAGGAACTAAAGCAGAAGACATTCTATCTGATTCTAGCAGCACATGTTGTTTAAACACAGGACTCCTTTTATCTGAGGAGGCTTTGTTATCAATAATAACGTAGATATTTAATTCTGCAAAATAAATCACACATTATTTCAGGTGATTAAGTGTTGAATGAGAGAAATTATATACACATCTGCTCCGCTTAAGTGGAGTCTTACTCATAATGACTCCATGTGCAAGAGAGATAGAGCAAAATTATAACACTTCTGTGCCAATCATGTCCCTGCAGGCTTATGTGGAGTCTACCACACTGGTAGAAACTGCGTAGTTAATGATTTATATTAAGCCATCTGCAGATTTAGTTTTAAATACATGTTACTTGTAATTCTTAGGCTGAAGAGGAATTCTATAATGCTGAAGTTGCCCTGGGCAGGGATACCAAAGGTCCTGGAATAGCTTACAGCCTTGAAGCTGCGGCATTCAACTCCCTTGTCCTGGGGGAAAGACTGAAAGGAACAGGTTGGAGCCACAGAGATTAAACATTATTTCACTGTTTTTCAGCTGAGTCATTGCTCAACAGGGCTTGTTTCCACTTCAGAACCAATGAATCCTTATGCAGAAAACACAGAGAACAGGTGTAATTTTTGGTACCGTTAATATAATTTACTAATTATAAACCTGAATACAGCACATATTGCCCTGTGACACATACATTTGCTTGGCAGAACGTTTGGCATTCTTTGGGAAAGAAAAAGCATATAATAAAATAACTTTATGTATATAGAAAATATTAAAAAATATAAAATTCACTTTCTGGTCCTTATAATTGTAAAAGATTTTGTTCACATATCACAAGTTCAGCCTACTACAAAAGCTGTTGGTAAATTACAGTACATTCACAAGTCACTTTTGTGCCAAGTCAGTAATATTAGAAAAAACTAAACAAATATAACAAACCAAAACCCCAAAGGGTCTTCTTTTCATGCCAGTCCAGCATCCTTGGCCATGCTGTAGAAAACACCCTTTGATGCTATAAGGTTTGCAGGTGTATCGAACTCAGCTACTGTTCCATTGTCTAGAACAAGAACCCTGTGCCAAACAAAAGATGATGATGGGGGAAAAATACGTCAGAGAATTCCTTGCAAGAAATGAGATATCCCTTTTTATCACAAAGCAAACTGTTCTGATTATTGCCCTGGCTTTGTTTTGCTCAATTCTTTTCACACATTGAAACACAATGGATGATAAATGTTCTACCTGAGCTGCTGTTTGATTTAAAAAGGGCACTATCTCCCAGGGCCAATAAAGGGGGGAAGTACCATACTGGTAGTTCTGGAATTGAAAATAGGGTACCAGAAAGCCAAGGAGATAAAAGCTCATGAAATAAAGTATATATATACTTTATATATATATATATATATAAAATTGATATATAAATGTTATGTGTATATATATATTAAAGTAATTAATATGATGTGAGTAAAAGAGTTATAGCAGCTGCTAGTGCAAAAAGGATCCATAAGCTTGCTGACAGTGCTATTAATGCAGCTGGGAAGTATGCCTTGTGCAGCTCTGGTTAGTAAATATAGAACCTATTTATTACACCACCAGAGGCATAGTCAGGTCTGGATATTCTAGGATTATATGGCTTAAACATCACTGCTTACATACCACCTGACAAGATCATCAGTGTGACTATCTAGGGACAAACTGGACCCTTTCAAGTGATGCTTCAGGTACCCTGTGAACGGGTGAGCCTCCCCGCCATGCACCACGAGGAGACTTTTACCTTGTGTAATCCATAATCGTGTTCAGCCTGTGCGCTATTGTCAGCACTGTGCAGTCTTCAAACTGGGTCCGAATTGTCATCTGGATCAGATCATCCGTCTCGAGATCGATGGCTGCTGTCGCTTCGTCTAGGATCAAGATCCTCGTCTTGCGGAGCAGCGCTCGTGCCAAGCAGACGAGTTGTCTTTGGCCGACGCTGCAAGCAGAAACAGGGTTTCACAAAGAGGCCCCACTGCCCTTGGCTCTCTGCTGCTCACAATCGCTTGTGCTAGAACAGATTACTCACCAGGTAAAGTTAGGGAACAAAACCCAATCGTATTTAGCACACAGCCTGGTCTGTCAGCCCTAGAGCCAACATCCATCAGCATTACTCAGCTAATTTAGTGTATGTGTTCACTTACTGCCAGTACTGACAGCGCCAGCAAATGCCCTTTTCAGTCAGTGTGACAACTAATGATTACAGAATGATTACAGTGCTTCAGCCTGAGTTTTCAAAAGCACACACAGTGGTAACAACACTGAGCATGTGCAAGCTTATGAAAAGAGAAGAAAAAAGGAAGAATAAAAACGTTCTGAGGTTGTCAGTCCTTTCTGCATCACAAAAACATTCATCCCATACATAATGTGGTTACGGCACAGCCTTAGGAGCCAGCGCAGAGTATCAAAGCATGGCATTTTATCATTCTTGTTCATGTCTTCATGGGTCTTCGAAATAATAATGGCAAATAAACACTGCTAAGGTGTCAGTTTAGGCAGAGGACTCCTATTCAGCACAGCAGTTATATATGTTGCCATGGTATTGCCCTTCCTACCAAGTTTAAGGAGCTGCCTGTTTCTAATACCACGTCCCCCTGAGATTTCTTTCTTTACTGGCGAGACAGGATTTTGGTTTGGGAGAAACCCTTCCCCAGCAGCAAAGAAGAATCAGATCATTGGTGGCAGAGGCAGAACAGCAGGCAAAGTGGTTCTCTTGAAAGATAGGTATGTGGATAATCCTTTCAGACACAGTGTAAACCTGTGCTCAAGCGTTACTCGCTGTTACAGCTCAGTGAATGCTCCGTGTATGTTTCTAGTCCAAGCATTCCTTACCTAAGATTTTCTCCACCTTCAGAGCATTCATAGTCCAGCATGGATGGCTGACTGCTGACAAACCTCTTCAAATGAGACAGTTCAAGAGCTTTCCATATTTCTTCATCTGAATACTTATTAAATGGGTCCAGGTTCATCCTCAGTGTTCCAGAAAAGAGAACAGGATCCTGGATAGAAACCCAACGTTCATTAGACAAGAGCTTTAGCTGTGCAAGTACAGATACTATGAGTTACTGCTTTGAAGTCTCCATTGCACTGCAGGTAGGCCACCTGCCAATCCCATCCACTCTGAAACTACATTACTTCAAACTCAAATTCCAACTGTAAAGATGCTTTATCCTAAACCTTGTTTTATCATCCAGCAGCAGCTTAGAAGGTGGCAGAGCAGCGCCACTGAAACTATAAATAGTGTTTTCTGAAACAATTTTCTGAGTGTAACAAAGCATTTTCCTCTGTGGATAAACCATTATTTATGGCTTGCTGTGCTCTGAAAGATCCTTCCCTTATTGTGATACACAGGAACAGTACCTGAGGAATAATGGTTAGCCTCGATCGAAGGTCATGGAGACCAATCTCTGCAATTTTCACACCATCAATCTTAATTTCCCCTTTTGCAGCTTCCAGGATCCTGAAGAGACAGAGCGTCATGGAGGACTTCCCTGCTCCGGTTCTGCCAACAATCCCAATCTACATCAAATGGCGGGTTTGACAACAAAGCAGATGATAGTTAAAATGAGAACAAACCCCAACAAAAGAACCCCAAACAAACCCCCAAGATGCCTCTAAGATATCTGACACAACATCTGAATCTA